GTAATATATTTTATCTAAAAATCCCTGCAATGTGAATTCACTTTAAAAATTAGTAATACTTTACATTCTTTTTTTTATGTAAAGCCTCTGAAATTTACTGTGTATTTTACACCAACAGCACATCTCAATTTGGATGCTAAATTTTCATCAGGTGCTTGATCTTTATTTTTACCATTTAATATAATTTACCATTGAAAAACTAGATTCACATACCCACGTTTTTTCAAACACTAGTTTCTAATAAGTAAATCAAGTATTACTTATTACAGTTGACTTTATATTAATTAAAATTAGTTAGCATTAAAAATTCCACTCCTTAGGGGCACTAGTTAAATATTGAATAGCGCGGTTCTGAAACGTTAGTTTTCTTTTGTGCACTTTTTTTTTTCTATGCAGTTTTCTTTTTTTTCTTTTATTTCAGCATATTAAGGGGGTACAGATGTTTAGGTTACGTATGTTGCCCTTGATGCCCCGTCCCCAAGTCCGAGTTTCAAATATGTCCATCCTTTGGGTGGTGCGCATTGCACTCCTTGTGTATACAAATACCCGTCCCCTTTTAATTGAAAAGACCGACTTTGTATAGTACTGTCACCTCTATTATTGTTAACAACTGCCGTTTGTTTTATGCTCACTATTTGCTAAATACACACATTATATCATTCAGCTCTCACAATAAATCTGAGAGATAACCAACAGCAACCATTTTGCAGGTAAGAAAAATTAAGACTTAGAGAGTTTTTAAGTGATTTGTCCCAGATCCAGAACAAGAAGGAAGCGAGGTGGATTTTATTATTTCTTTGCATGTGTGGTAAACTGATTAAAAGGCTTTTAGAAAACTCTTAGGGTGACCCTGGTTCTTGGACTTCTGGTCAAGTAGTTGTTCCAGAGTTTTCAAAAGGTCATGAAACCTTTTGAAAGTGGGCAGTTTACTTAAGATGTGTTTTCCTTTGAATATGTAAGGCTTTTTGTGGGGGCAAAAGGGAGGATTCTTGACTTCTCAGGACATCTGTTTTTGACCTAATGTGACTGTTGATACAAATCATGTAGAAATGACATCTGTCCACAGGGAAGTGTATTCAGGACGCTGAGTTGGGACATCCATAGTGCAACAGGAGGTTCCTCATCCTTGGCTGCTGGAGACAGCTGCTTATGTTTTAAAATCGCTCATCTCAGAGGTGTGTCTGTCTGTCTATGTGGTGTACCTTCCTCAGTGCCCTTGGTTTGCTTTCTTGACTGAAGATAAAATTTGAGAGTTTCACTGTTATTAAAAACTTGTACCTTACCACTTCTTGAAAAACCTTATAGTCTGTAGATGGACACGCAGAGTAAGGGTAGCCCCTTAAAGATGAGGTTTTGAGAAATTGGCGTTAGTTTTTGCTTTTAGGGATTGGCCAGGTTTTGAGTGGCTGCTGTGTTGGATTGCACAGCCTTAAGGCATTAGTTTTCTTTGTGTACTTTTAGCAGAAAAGGCTGACTTTGTATAATGGTATTATTTGTATTATTGTTACGAATAGCTGCTGTTTGTTTATTGAGGGCTGGGAGGTGCACTGGGCAGCAGGTGCTTTAATTTGATACCATGTGCATGTCATTGCAATTTAAGCCAACACACACACACACACACACACCCACACACCCACACACACCCCACCCCACCCCACCCCCCCGCCACGTCTTGGTTTATGTGCTAGGGGTATTCTAGTTAAGGAGAACAAGAAGGCTTCCGCTCTCACAGATTGCATTCCTATAAGGAGAAACAAATAATTAAAGCCATCAGTGATTAAGGTGTTCTAAGAACTGGGCATTTGAGGCCTGCAGATCACGGGTCACCAACAGATGGACCTCTTGGCTTGTGCTACCTCCAGCGTTTGTCCTCCTGGCCTCTCTGAAAAACTCTGCGGAGTCTCCTGTCTTCCTTTTGGGGGTCTGGGACAGATTTCTATGGATTAGCTGGTGGGTGATGCTGGATGGTGCTGCTGCCTCTGTGACCCTCTGTCATTGAAGGCCTGTTTGAGATCCCTGGCATGGGTAGAGTGACCTGTGGCCTTTAAGGAGAACCTAGGTGTCTGGCTGGTCATCCTCAGCAATCCGGCCCCGTCCTGTTGTTGGGCTTGGAGTTCTGTCTGGTTGGAGTTTCCTGATGCCAGCGGTGGTGGGGGTGGCGAAATTCACAGTGGTCTGTTGGATGCTTCTTGCAAAGCCCTTCCTCAAACACCGTCTCATTTCGTCCTTACAGTTAGAGGACACTTACGCCCACTTCATCGCGAGCAGCTGGGGATGGGTGGGCAATGAAGGATGACACGCCATGCACTCTGGTCCATGAGAAAGATTGTAACAGATGGTTTTGTATCTTCTCAGGGGGCTTAGTGAATAAATGTCTTTAAATGTGACAAAATGACAATGAAATTTCCTAAAGTTTTGTTGTTTCTCATCAAGACAGGCTGGATAACAAACAAGCGACGCTAACATAGGCCTTTGGGCTGGGTGGATGGTGGGCGTTCCCGCCAGGGAGCCAAAGGGAGTTGATAGCATTTCCCTGCCAGATATGAACAGGCAGACATCACTTCCTTCTCCCCGGAGTAATTCTGACAGATGAGACCAACACACTCAATTAGCGCTGAGAACAGCACGGTCCACAACTGCCTGCCCAGTGTGATGGATAAATGGTGTGGTGAGGGATGGATTTAGGCCAGGACATCTGGGTACCGGAGCCTGTGGGGTCAACTCTGCCTTCTCTGTGTCCAGAACTGTGTCCCTCTGATTTTCTAGAGCTACTCATGAACACAGCCCTCCTCCCACCCGGACTGGCCAGTCCACTCGGCCTGCTGCCTCTTTTGGGTCCCTGCTAAGCTTGCTTCGGAACATAGCCTTGCTAAGCTGATGTAGTCTTTTCTTTCCTTTAATCACATTGTCAGGAACTGTTACCACCTGCTCAGGTCTTGGTAGCTCTAATAGAGATGACCAAGTGGCAGGGGTGGCCCAGGGCTTGCCGCATGTTGAAGGAGGGCATGGCAGGCAAGGTGTTTCCAGCTAAAGGAAATGTCGTGTTGGGGATGTCATGGCAAGTCACCATGAGAGGATGTGGGCAGGACTGGGCAGGGTCAAGATTTGCCCAGGAACCTCGCTATTTGGGTGGGGATGTTTGCAATGTAGCCCCTATGTTGTTGGAATGTTGCATTGTGGTTAAGGCCAGCAAATCCAGAGTTACTGAGGGTAGATGTGGTTTGTGTACATTGGGATTCTATAGGGAAGATGTTGACGTTATGGGATATTTGTGGAAATAGTGTGTTCAGTGTGTTAGTGTTTTAGGCTGGATTCACTCCCATAAAATCATTTTCTTCCATTTCCCTTCGGCTGGCTTTGTTCTTGGGCTGCTCTAACATGGGTAGAGTTTCCTACACGGACAGCATGCGTGTCTTGGCTTTTTGGAGCACTTCACTGAAGTTCAAGGGGCCAGGGCATCAGTGAGGGCCTCAGTTCTTCCATCAGCATCACAGAAGGGGTTGGATGAGAAGATAAGGGGATCATGGGAGGCCTCCCAGACACCCGGGAGCACAGACCTGAAGGGAAATCCCCGTCTGGATGTGCTCTCCCTCCCTGGCCTCCTTCAGGGTCCCAGACATCACAGTCAGTGATCTGGTCTGGCTTGGCCTCTTTCCGGAAGGTGTGCAGCACTTAGCATCCCATGCATTACCTCTGCCTAAATATTGATGAAGTAATTGTGAAATCAGCAAGTAAATTCATACATTCCTATATTCATCGGATAAAACTCTTTCTTGAAAAATGGAGGTGCTATCAGTCCTTTCCCCAGGGAATAAACCAAAATGGAATTGGAATAAGCCTTGGCATGAGCTGCCCACATGTGGGCAGTAAACCTACTGGAAGCCAGTGGAGCAGAAGGGTTTGTGTTATTTCTGAGTCTTTGCACCTGCTTGCACCCGTCCTTCATTACAGTATAGTCTTTCGGAAAGTTCTACGTGTGTTTGTGGGTACTTAGAGGAACCATTCCCATATTGCTTGCTTATATTTTTCTTATATAATAAAATTAATGCAAAACATGCTTTTGTAGATCATTAATGTTGTAAGTCCTAAAATGTAAAATCCTGAAAACCACCTGAGTCTATTTAATGTTTTAGAACCCTGCTGTCTCTTCTTGTGCTCTGCCTTTAAAGGAAACAGTGATGGCAGGGCCAGTGTCAAACACAGACCTGGAGTTGTAAACAGATAGTGCACTCTGGAGAGTGGATGGTGCTTGAGATAAGTTGGATTTCCCAACTGGAAGAGACAATTAGGAATTGCATTTCAATCTTATTTCCTGAACATCCTTTCTGGCTCCTATCTTAAGGATAAATAGAAGCCCAAACCTTTGCCCCTGAGCCTTATACCCCAGTGTCCCCTCGTTTCCTTCACACTTCCCAGACCCCTGTCTGGGTCCCGTTTCTCTGCCCTCTGCAGCCCAGGCCAGGAGGCTGCCTGGGGAAGGACTGTGTGTGTCTCCTTTCCTTGCTACATCCCAGGACTGGCCTATTTTACCCAGGAGAAGGAAACCACACCTTGGTCCTCCTAGGGATAGATGCAAAAAGCTGCAATTCGAATAATTTTTGTTATAAGAAGCATTTCTTTTAATATTGCAAATCAGTGGATTTATAATTAGAGAAAATTAGTTAAAAACGTAACTTGTGTTTGTGTATGCATTTATATGCACACTATGGGATTTATGTATATGTGTTTATATAGGCTATGTATTAATACATTCATGAATTATCACTGTATATTTACGTGGGGATACACACATAGATGCATGCACATCAGTGTGTGAATTATTAATATTTACACAGTAATAGAAATGATGTTCTCATAGCCAAGTAGTCGGCCCTTTCCAGATATCAGCATCATATGCTGCAGAAAGTAAATGCAAAATGCCTGGAAGGGCAGACAAGCCTTGTGCCACGTTGTGGTGGGTGGTGGGTCTCCCACTGACTGCCACCCTGTGTGCCGTGCAGACTGCAGAGAGATCTTGCTCCCCATGATGACGGACCAGCTCAAGTACCACCTGGAGAGGCAGGAGGACCTGGAGGCCTGCTGCCAGCTGCTCAGCAACGTCTTGGAGGTGCTGTACAGGAAGGACGTGGTGAGTGACTCTCTGTGCCAGGCTGCCTTCCTCCCAGGGCTGTGCAGGAAGCGTTGTCCTGCCACGTGCCTAAACCACAGGCTCGTGGTACAGTGTTATACTTTACTTGGTTGAAAAGGAAAGGCCTTAATGTTAGAGTTTCACCTCCCTCTTTCTCTCTGTAGAGTTGTACCCTTAAATTAATTTTATTTGTGTGTATAGGGTGATTATTACAGTGTTTATCCTTCTGCATAGAAAATAGTTTTTTATTTCCTGGGTCGTCTTAGTAGAATGCCTCCCAGCACCTAGATTTCAATCCTTAAGATCAGACAAAAAGGCTTTCCTGCTTAAAAGTTGGCTGATTACCTGCATTCTTTTCTTCTTTTTTCAATTCTTATTTTTATTAAAATAATACATGCACAAAGTTGTTTTTTAAAAAGCTAGTGGTACTCTTGAGTGTTATTAATATAATGAGCAGAGCAGCTCTCTGCCCCTCTCCCTACAGGTAAATACTTCCATGCTTTCTTCCTCCTTCTCCTGCCCCCACCCCCTCAGCCAACCAGATGTCTCCTTTTGCAGATCTAAATTGTGTGCTTGATCCTGTAACTATTTTAACCATCAGAAGTGGGTACAAGCACACATGGAAAATGCACCCTATGCCTCCCACCCCTGACCTGTCTGCACACACCTGTGACCTCATTGATTTCCAGATAAGCCTGGATAGGTGAAAACAGGGCCTTGTACATATCTTTGCTCCTCACCCGGACACAGTGGCCAGGATTTTCAAGTAGACAGGATTTGTCCTTAGGTCTCTCCTGCATGACCCCGGGACGCCTTCCTAGTCAAAGTTCACACACACCTGGTGGCCCCTCCCTGCCAGCACTGGCTCATTCTCCCAGGGCCTGGTTAGTGCTTTTGAAGATCAGATGAAATCTGTTCATGGTGATGGTGGCTCTTCCATCAGCTTTTCAGTGGCATCGCCTTTGGAAAGGTTTTAGAAGCCTTCACCCGGAGGCCAGCCTCCTGTGGTTGCATTCTGGGCTCTTCCCTCTTTGGAAAAGGGCTTGGAGATAGACTGCATGGCCAAGCCTCATGGAGGAGGTGGTGACCCTAGGGAATGGCCTAGAGGGCACGTTTAATCAGGTTCGAAGTTTATGAAGAAGAATCAACACACTAAATAAAAGAAGAAATTTTTACTGATAGAAGATGCCAGGGCAGTGTGAATTTTAGGTAGTTTGCTAAGTGCTACTTAAACATTCTATTCTGTGTGACTGTTTATGTCACTGGGACTTGACGTGCAAAGCCGCCTGGGCTTGCTATCTGCCCGCCTTGTGTCTACAGATGGCCAAGTGTCTTTAGAAAGCTAATTGGTGGGCTAATTAGGGATCATAAACATTATATTGTTTAAACAGATTTGCTTTTATTTTTAAGAGTTTGCTTAAATTAAATTACTATGATTTTATATATATAACAAATTATCATTAATGGACTGTAATTAATAAAATGTCTTGAGTATTCTTTGCAAAGGCTTTTGCCTTTGACAGGGGCCATTTTTCATCTCGTTAAAGGTCGTAATTGATTTACTCTTTACAGGATAAACGGATTCAGTGCCACTGGGGCTTGCATGTTAATGTTTGTCTTTGGTGTTGGCTCTCACTGATGTGTCCTTCTCCAGGGGCCGACTCAGAGGCACGTCCAGATAATCATGGAGAAGCTTCTCCGGACAGTGAACCGAACCGTCATTTCTATGGGGCGGGATTCCGAACTCATCGTAAGTGCTCAGGGGCATGTGCTTGGATGATGAACTGGAAAGCTTCTTTCCCTGGAATGTCCCTGAACTCTGTCTGGTCTTTTCCAAATGCTGTTTGAAAATAAGCTTATTTTATTACAATAGAGTGAGTAGTCGAGACACAGTCTGGTATATAAAACGTCTTCATTTTCCAAGTAAGTGTCAAAGTTGTAGGGTAAGCAAACCAGTATTAGAGAGACAGAAACATTCGATTCTAGTTTTCTCATTACTTACTTCTAGCAAAAGATATGCATTTTCTTCCAAGTCCTCCTCCTTTCAGCAGCTTTTTCTTTCTGCAGATATTTACATTTAAGGTGCCATTAATAAAATTTTATGAGGGACCTTGGAAAGTAATTGATGCACTCCAGCTTAGCTATTTTTTATTGTCTACTCTAATATAGTTTAGGCATTTCCTTTATATGGATTAGTTAGGCATAGACAACTATTAGTTTTTTTTCAAGAATGCTTTAACAATAATTTAGCCTTTCAAGTTTCATATCCTGATGCCTTTTCCCAGTGTTTTCTGCTCCCTATGCCGCACCCATTATTAAGTTTGTTTTCCTAGGCAAAAGATCCACACGTAATTTCCATTTAGTTTTCTACATTTTTAGTACATGTTATTGTTTAACTAACGTTGGTGGTTGACCTTTCAAAAACAATAACTTCTCTAATGAAAGAATAAAAATCTTTTGAGCATTTTCCCTGGCACTCAGACGAGGCATATTTGTCTTTCCTGACGTGTGACTTTCGTTCTTTCTGCATTTCTGTGGAGGAACGGGAAGGTGAAGTGTGCCTCCTTTGACAGTGTCTCCTTTGACAGTGTAGCAATAACTTTCCATTTCTGTGGCTGATGTCACAATAGAGGATGCGGTTTGGGGTGAATCGCAGACAAGTGGCATAGAAGGACTAGCGCTGCCTTAGTATGTTTCTGTCCAGTAAAGTAGTCTGGTTTATGTCTCAGAGTCCCAGCACATGCTGTGTTCACATGTTCCTTTTTCCAGTATAGCTCATGTAAGTTTGGACTATAACATGTATGAATTAGAAAGTAAAATGTTTTCAGGTAAGTTGGATTTATTTGTAGTGGACTTTCCCATTATTATGTAAATGTAACTTCTTCATATTCTTCATCCTAACTATTCTTTTTCATAGTCTAGAAACACTTTTATATGCTTAATGTGGAGTATACACTGAGCCCTATGGAGCGGGACCTGGGGTGACTCTAGAAGCATCCCTGAGGCCTGGTGTCCCTGTCTCCCTGGGCTCATGCTACAGGTGCACTCACTCACTCTCACGTGTGGAACCGGGAAAGGGTCTTAAGGTAGAACAAATGGTGTGTGGCTTGAAGTTGAACCAAGTATTGTGTCCAACCAAGTATTCTGCTGAGACCTGTCTTGGAATGGGCTGGATTAGAGAGAGGCTGGGCATGACGTGATGGCACTGAAGCTGTTACAGTGAGTGACTGATGGGCATTCTGGAAATGGTCTGCCTCGTGGGCAGATGAGGGAGACAGCAGATGTGGAGACAGTCCTGTCTCTGGTCAGGGGTACATGGTCCTATCTTTAGTTAGGGGGGCGTGATCCAGGGGTACAGTCCTGTCTCGGATTAGGACACAGGGCTCTGTCTGTTTGGGGGACACAGTGTTGTGTCTGGTTAGAGGGGCAGGGTACTGTCTCTGGTTAGGTCTTGATACTAGGCGTGTGTTCGCCTGATTTAGAGTCCACAGGCCAGCAGTTAACTGGGGAGAGGAGGGCAGAGAGGAAGCCCATAAAAGTCTGGGTGGGCACCTTGGAATGTGGAGAAGTGGTAGGACATGCTCACAGTTGATCAAAGGGTAGAAGGGACCCTGCAGGGCATCTCTTCTCAGACCCTGTGGTCCAGGCTGTCTTTGGGGAATTTCTCCTGTCTCAGGCATCATGATGATAGTGGTGACAACAGTAGCAGCTCTCCATTGAGCACATATTTATATAGTAGGCACTGCATAACTAATGGGAAGATTCTCATTAATCCTCACCTTCACCCTGCACGCGCAACTGCAGAAAATGCCCTGAAGATGGAGAGGAAATTGTTCAAGACCCCACAGCTAGTGTGTCAGCACTTGGTTGGAGCCCTGGTTTGGTGCCTGAGCTTGTTCACCATCTGTGCTGTGAGACTGAGGCACATGATGCTGATGGCCATGGCCCGTTGCAGGAGGCATTAAAGGGGACTTGGAGTTGCTCTTAGATCTCTGTCCTCGTTTGGGAGGTATCTCTGCAGGAAAATAAGCACCTTTTTCTTTTGTACCTTTCAGTCATTTCCCTGGGGCCAAACTCCAGGATTTACTGGAGGTGAAAGGGCCAGGCAAGCATTGGTTGGGTGGCCACTTCCTGAAGGGCTTGCAATGCCCTGGCTTGGAAGAAACCATGTGTTCTAAAGAACCCTTAGGAGTTACTGTCTATTAAAAACGTCCAAAAATTCCTTTGAATTTCTTCTGTAAAACTAAGCTGTCATGGAAGAAATCTAGAAGAAAATGTTTTAAATAAGCTACAATTACTTAATAGTGGTGACAACACCAAGATGTTTTCAAGAAGGGCATTCACCATGAAAATTCAAGTTGTGTAGAAGGCTTTGTCTATCCTGGACCAAACATGAGTCCCATCTCTGGCATCAACAGAGTAGTGAGAGGGAAATGCTGCCCTGCTTGGGATGCCCAACCTTGCTCTGCCAATTTGCATCAGATGTAGATTTATGCATTAACTTTTTAATGATACTGTGGGCGATTTGTGAATTCAGATTAGATAAAGATCGGGGCAAAAAATACCCCTGACAAGGTGGACAAAAAACTTAATCAGTGGACCTTCTGGAGTAGAAAAAGAACAAGAAATAGTTTAGAGATCTGTTTTGGGTAAGCTGTACCATTCCATTAGACCTGGGAGATTTCAATCTTTATGTGTTACTCAGTTTTGCATAAATATAGTGGAAATTATATAACTATGAATCAGCTTAAAAATTCTAAGTAATCACTGGAAATGGATTTAAAAAAATTGAAGTGATTAAAAGGAACTCTTGAATTGATACCCTTCACTTAATGATTTATGCCGTGGTGTTATCTATCAACAGTGATACTAGAAATGTGACCTCTCTTTCCATCAGAATAAGATTTAATTGGGAAGGCTGTTATGGCCTGACAATTTCCCCCTGTCTATGTGTGGAACAGAGAACTGGGGAACTTCACACATAATTGTATAAGTTGGGATGTACAATGTAAGTCTTTTCTTTTATCTGTATCTGTGATATTTTATAAAAACTCTACTCTGCAGTATGTATCATTTATTTTAGTTGATTATGTTTGAAATGGGCAGTTGGAATGCATCTCATGCATAGGATGGTAATGTGCCGTGACCCTACGTATTATGCTTTCTAAACAAAACAAACTCCATTTGGGAATTGTAGAATTTAGATTGTGTGGATACCTATCATAGGCCCTGAAACAGCAGCTTTGTAGTAGCCTTGCCACAGAATTAAAAGGGCATTTTCTCTGTACTCCAGTGTAGTCTGATGCTGTAGAATAATGGAGTGAAATATTTAGTTTTATATGAAGTCAGGTTTCAGATTTTATTTTTGTTTTCCTTTTTAAAAAGCTTTCCGGGTCCTCAGCACTAAGCAGCACTCTTTTCATCATGGGTGGTTCTGAGCAGGTGGCCACCACTGAATTAGGTGGTCTAGTGTGCAGGTGGCCTGGCCAGGCCATTTGGTGACCTGGTACCCCGACTTATGCATGTGTTTTTCCTGGAATAAGTACTTGTGTGCAAAGTGGGATGAGAGCTGATGAAATGAGTAGCGCATAGTGATGTTCCTTCTCCTATGATATTAGCTGTTCCTTCTTTCAAATGATCAGATTTACATTCTGTTAATGGGTCCTTTAAAAATGTAATCAAGTGAGAAGGACTTTTAAAGATTTTTCTATGGCCTGGATACACACCAGAAGCCTGGAAATTACTCATTCACTAAAATGAAAATGTAAGCTTCTTCCAAGGAAAGGTTCCCTTGGACAATTCAGAGGCGGGCTTAGGGAAGGGGAAAATTCTGCCTGGATTCTCCATGTATTCTTGTGATCACTGGTGCATTTTGACGCATGAGACTCAAGTGATGGGAGTTATTTGGCTTCCCCTCTGAACACCAGTGTGGCGGACATTGATGGGATGGGGAGTGTGTTTCATAGTGACAACAGCATCATCGGTGGGGAATTTGCTGTTAGTGAAAATCCAGTGCTTTCTTTGAGCCTGGGTGATTTATAAGGACCTGACATGCTTCTTCATTTGGAAAATAGTGTAATAGAATTGGTTTCCCAGGGAATAGTGCCTTTTTTTTTTTTTAAACCAAGACTCATAATCAAATATTTTCACAAAAATGTTACAACCCCATGCATGAGCATTCATTTTGAGATGTTTATTCCAGTGGAGTTTAAGGATGAATGTACTTTTAAAAACCACTATTTTTTCATCTTCATTTCCAGAAGAAAAAATGTTACAAATGTTTCAAATAGATGTGTGGCTTTTGTATACAGCATCATAAAAAGCGTCTCTAATTGCACTGTTTGCTAATAAATCTACTTGCTTTCTGAAAATCATCCTAACGTGTGTATGTGTGAGCAGTGATAACTTTATAAGTTCACTTTTTATTTGGTGTTGCTACAGCAATTTTTCCTTCCTTTTTATATTTCTGTATTTTTTCAAGGTTGGTCACTAACTGTGGGTTTACTGCAGAGGAAATAAAAACCCCATCATCGAATGGGCAAAATATGCACCGCATTTCTTGCATACTCATTACAAACTGCAAAGGTGCCTAATTATTGAGCTACTTAGAAGGTAATATGCTGCTTTCACATGACCTTGCCACTGGCCAGAACATATGCTATACATCATAGGATGATCGGTTTACGCTCATTTATGAAACAGGTTGTTATTTCTGATCTTTGCATCAGATAGCTGTTTACTTCTGTTAAA